AGTCACTGTGCCCGGCCACATTTTTTAAAATAAGTAAAATATGTAGTATATATTAGGTATTGAAATTGCAATGGAGAGAAAGCAGGGAAGTTAAAGAGTATGAGTTTGTTGGACGTATGTGTCAGGGACAGTCTCACTGAAAAGGTGATATTTGATCAAAGATGTGAAGAAAGGTGGGGGACAAGCCATGTGGCTATCTGAGGGAAGAATATTTTGGACAGAACAGCAAGTACCAAGGCCCTGAGGCAGAATTATGCCTGCTCAAGGATCAACAGGGTTGGTTGGTATGGCTGGAGTTGCATGAGAATGGAGGAGGGTTAAGTAGGAGATGAGGTCAGAGAGGCAGGGAGTGCAGTGCTTGGTTCCTGGCATACAATGAATACCTAGTAAAAGTTTGCCGAACTTACTTTTGTTTTTTTCAAATCGACCAGAGGGTGAACTCTCCAGGAAGGATCTTCATAGTAACTCAACTGCCTACTCTCCCCTACCCCCTGCACAACCAATGCCATTTTTAGTTCAACATAAGACTCCTACTGGATGCCTAGAGCTGGTGCTATAAGGAAATAGCTTTCAAACGTTTTGACCACAACCCAGCCATAAGAAATATATTTTAAAGGGCCGGCACGGTGGCTCATGCCTGTAATCCCAGCACTTTGGGAGGCTGAGGTGGGCGGATCATGAGGTCAGGTGTTCAAGACCAGCCTGGCCAACATGGTGAAACCCTGTCTCTACTAAAAATACAAAAAATTAGTCAGGCATGATGGCGTGTGCCTGTAATCCCAGCCACTAAGGAAACTGAGGCAGGAGAATCACTTGAACCCAGGAGGTGGAGGTTGCAGTGAGCTGAGATCACGCCATTGCACTCCAGCCTGGGCAACAGAGCGAGACTCCATTTCAAAAAAAAAAACAAAACAAACACAAACAAACAAAAAACAAATACATTTTAAGGCTGAGCGCAGTGTCTCACTCCTGTAATCCCAACACTGTGAGACTGAGGCTGGAGGATACTTGAGGCCAGGAGTTTGAGACCAGCCTTGGTGACCTAACAAGACCTCATCTCTACAAAAACTTTTTTAAAAAATAAATAAATAAATAGGAAATAATTTTTTAAGAAAGACATTTTAAGTCACAGCTCAACACACACATATACCCACTAAAACAAAAGTCATGAAACAATACTTTTCCTACTACATGTAATATACTTCATTTTTTCTTTTTTCTTTTTTAATGCTGATCAACCTTCTTAATTTATTTCCTAACTGTGGGGTCAAACCTGCAATTTGAAAAACATTACCATGAGAAAAGAGGAGAAGTATCAGTTGAGTTACTGCTCCTGTGTCCCTCTCAGTGTCTGTGGGGTGAGCTCATAGTAATAACATCACTCATTTGGACAACTGTGGGCAGATATGAAATTTCATGGTATTAGCACCCTCACCAACTGGGATGAAGTAGGGGTTACAGAAAGAAAAACTGAGTTTCTGAGAGACTGAGTTTCCCAGAGTAACATGGTTAGTAGGTGACTGTACTGAGGCTGGAACCTGGGCTCAGAACCCCATGTTCAGGACTGTGGCCAAAAGCTTTTCTGCTGAACCTCCTGCTGTGCCCAGGGCATGGGAGGAAGATATAGTCTCTTTGGGGCCAGAGAAGCCTTTGGGGAGGGAGGGTGCTAATGGTGCCAAGCAGAACATCACATCCCATCATATCACCCCTACCAGGAGGGCCGTGTAGCCATCACCCGAGTGGCCAACCTTCTGCTGTGTATGTATGCCAAGGAGACCGTGGGCTTTGGAATGCTCAAGGCCAAGGTGTGTATGTGCCCATCCCTCCACAGCCCTGGGCCCAGCCTTTGTGCTCCTGCACTGTGTCCAATCCCACCGGGACTCTGTTTCTAGAGTCCTCATGTCTATTCAGTCCATTTCTGGTGTGGGCCAGCTCCCAAGAGCAGGTGGGGCTTGGGGGCTGGTTGCTCCCTATGGCACTGGGAGCAGACCTGGATTTGGGGTCCCTAGTGCCAGGCCGTGTGCGAGACTGATTTCTGTTCTCCCTCTGCAGGCCCAGGCTTTGGTGCAGTATCTGGAGGAGCCCCTCACCCAAGTAGCGGCATCTTAATGGCATTGGTGGAAGCTGGGGTCAGAAAAGAGAAACGACCATTTGGAGGGGTGGGGCCTCCTAGAAGAACCTTCTTAGACAATGCGGGGAGGATGGGACTTGGGTTTTTCCAAGAATAAACTTTAATTCCTGTCATGTGTCTTGGCTACTTTCTTGGATGGGAGGAATCAGAGAAGATAGGAAGCAGCAGCCGTCGCTTCTGGGATTCCTCATGTTCTGCAAGGATGGGCTTCTACCCACCCCTTCATCATGACCTTCGGCGAACAATGGTTCTTGGCAGTTATGCCAATTAGTCCTTGTCCTCACCAATTGTAACCTCACCTAGACCCTGCCGCTCAGAACAGAGTCTTACCCACCTCATAGGCAAAACCGTGGGAGTGAGCTCAGAGGAGCAAGGGTCTGGTAGGGCTTGTGTTGCACAGAGAATATAAAGGCCCTGGGAGGTTAGTGTCTATCATTCCAGGTTTGGGGGATGTGTGCCTTTTCTTCTTTTTTTTGAGAGGATCTCCCTCCGTTGCCCAGTCTGTAATGCAGCGACACAATCTCAGCTCACTGCGGGCTCAACATCCTGGGCTCAAGTGATTCCACCTCAGCCTCCAGAGTTGCTGGGACTATAGGCATACACCATCATGCCTGGCTAATTTTGGGGTTTTTGTTTTTTGTGCTTTTTAGGGTTTGGTTTTTTTGTTTGTTTGTTTGTTTTGGTAGAGATGAGTTCTCAATATGTTGCCCAGGCTGTTCTCCAACTTCTGGGCTGAAGCCATCCTCCTGCCTCCCAAAGTGCTGGGATTACAGATATTAACCACTTCAACTGGCCAGTGAGTGCCTTTTCTATTCTTGGGGTTGGGAGGGTTTCCCCTAACAGCCTAGAACAAGCCATCCCTTTCCTCCTCTTCCAGGTGTTCATGTGCTTACACAGACCCTCCCAGATCTTGAAACCCTTTGTAGTCAAGATGCCTTTGTTGTGAGGCCTCAGGTCCTGTTCAGGGAGTAGAAGTAACCCAGACCTCCCAAAGGCATTCATCTCCAGATCCTGCTCCTACACTCAGACCACTCACTCCAGCTGTCTGTTTCTGCCCCAGGTCTCTGCCTACCCAGTATCCTTAAAGCAGGTCTGTATAGGGAGCTACAAGCCCCCTTCCCTAGTGCCATATAAAGGAACCCATCCCAGAGAAGTGGGTAGGTTTCGAGTCCCAGCTCCACCCAAGATGAGAAACACTGCCCATCCCAGGCCCTGGGCTGTCAAGGAAGGGTGGAAGTTACTGTGGCCACGATGCAGCTCCCACAGCTCTGCATTGCAGGAGGGTGACTGGCGTTCTATCAGCACCTGCTCCAATATCCCTTACTCTAGTTCCTCCAGTGTACCCTCCTACCAGCTCTGAAGGAAAAGCAGGCCAAATGGCGTTCTTTTTTTTTTTTTTTTTTTTGAGCAGTCTCTTGCTCTGTCACCCGCAGGGCTTTGGGAGTGCAATTGGCGCCCAATCTCGGGTCTCACTGCAAGCTCTGACCTCCCGCGGTTCAGCAGAGTCTCTCCCTTTGCCGTTCAGCCTCGGCTGTTGAGTAGCTGGGATTACAGACTTCCCGGCCCGAGCGGACGCCCTGGCTTGAATTTTTGGGTATAGTTTTTATGGTAGGGACAGGGTTTCACCAGCGTTTGTTTTCAGGCTGGGTCTCGCAACTCGCTGCCATTGCGGATCCGCTGGCCCTCAGCACTGCCTTAAGAGTGCCTGGGATGTATTTAGGGTGGGCAGCTAGCTGCCCACGAGGCGTCCTTCTTTTTTTTTTTTTTTTTTGAGACGTGAGTTCTTGCTCTGTCCCCCAGAGCTGGAGGTGCAGTTGGCGCATCTTGGGCTCACTGCCAAGCCCGCCTCCCTGGGTTGCATGCCATTCTTCCTGCCCTCAGGCCTCCGGAGTAGCGCGCAGGACTGACAAGTGGTGCCGCCTGCCACCATTGGCCCTGGTTGCTAATTTTTTTGTATTTTTAAGTAGAGTCTTAGTAGAGACGGGGCTTTCACTGTGTTAGCCCATGAGCCGTCTCAATCTCTCTGACTTCATTGATCCGCCCGGCCTGGGGCCTCCCAAAGGCTACCGGAACTTGACAGGCGATGCGGGGCACCGCACCCGGGACCTTTTTTTTTTTTTTTTTTTTTTGGAGCAGTCTCTTGCTTGCCAGGCTGGAGTGCAGGGCAGGATCTCAGCTCACTGGAACTCTGGCCTCCCAGGTTTTTCAAGCCAATTCTTCTACCTCAGCCTCCCAAGTAGGCTGGGATTACAGGCACCCACCACCACGTCCAGCCAATTTTTTTTTTTTTTTTTTTTGAGACGGGAGGGTTTCGCCTCTTTGTTGCCTAGGCTTGGGAGTGCGAATGGCACGTGATCTCGACTCAGCCACAACCTCGCCTCCCTGGGTTTCAAGGCGATTCTCTTGGCCTCAGCCTCCCCAAGTAGTGGTGATTATGAGCCAGTGCCACCACGGCCCAGCAATTTGGTATTTTTTTAGTAGAGACGGGGTTTCTCCATGTTGGTCAGGCTGGTCTCGAACTCCCGACCTCAGGTGATCCGCCCGCCTCGGCCTCCCAAAGTGCTGGGATTACAGGCGTGAGCCACCGCGCCTGGCCTCAAGTAGATTTCTAAGGGGCTATTTCTTGCTCATTAGCTGGAGGACTTGCCCTCACCACAGATTCCAGAAGCCCAGCAATGCACACTCAGCCCTCAGTGGGCTGTCTCTGAAGGTCCTGTCTCTGAAGGTCCTGTGTCTGAAGGTCCTGTCCCTTTTTAGCTTCACCCCAACCCCGCTGGAGCTGGTTCTCCAGTTTGCGGGAGGCCAGGCTGACAGCAGACACCCAACCTGTCGAACCTGTCTGACGTCATCGTCTCTCCACCCACCTGGGCCCCAGGTCTCCAGCCACCCTGCTCTTCCTGTTCTCAGCTTCCGTCCTCTCAGCTTCCTTACAGCACCCCCACCTGCCAGAGCTAATCCTCCCTCGGCCCTGCCTAACCTTGAGTTGGCCCCCAATCCCTCTGGTTGCAGAAGTCCCCTTACCCCTAATGAGAGGAGGGGCAGGACCAGATCTTTTGAGAGCTGAGGGTTGAGGGTATTGAGCCAACACAGACTTGTCATCTCTACCCCTGAAGACACCTGCACCCTCCATGCGGAGCCAAGATGGGGAATGGAACTGAGGAAGATTATAACTTTGTCTTCAAGGGTGAGTTGGGTTCCCTGAAGCAAGAGGAAGCCTGAGAGACCCAGAAAGAGATTGATAGAGCCAGAGAGGGCCCCATCCTGGGACTCCTCATTCCTTCAGAAAGAAAGCTGTAGGGAGTAGGGGAGGGCCTGGTTGCAGGGGCAAAAGTCAGGGAGCTTCTGAGTATGCTCTACTGTGGTAAATAATGACGTTGATCCCTCCTTAAGAGTGCTGAGTTAGGCTCCTCTGCCCCGTTCCTAATAGAAACCCAAATCCCTAGTGTCAGCCAGGGCAGCACAAGAGATGGAGGTCAGACTTCAGAAAGGACTTCCCTCTTTTTTTTTTCTTTTTGAGATGGAGTCTTGCTCTGTCCCCCAGGCTGGAGTGCAGTGGCATGATCTCGGCTCACTGCAACCTCCGCCTCCCAGGTTCAAGCGATTTCTGCCTCAGCCTCCCGAGTAGCTGGGACTACAGGCGCCTGCCACCATGCTCGGCTTATTTTTGTATTTTTAGTAGAGACAGGGTTTCACCATTTTGGCCAGGATGGTCTGGAACTCCTGACCTCATGATCTGCCCGCCTTGGCCTCCCAAAGTGCTAGGATTACAGGCATGAACCACCGCACCCGGCCAGGACTTCTCTCTTGAGAAGAAAGGGAAACCAGCAGACAAGAGGAAGAAAGTCATCTTTTCTGGGCAGGTGTACAGGGAAGGAGAGAAAGGAGAGACCTATCCCATTATAGGGTGGGGCAATAAATACATAGGGAAGACAGAAAATATCATGAATTTGCCACAGAGTCTGATAGAATCCAGAGGAGTCCGAGGGTTGTAGCCTCATCTGCCTGTCCCTTGGCCGACTCACTGGATCTGCATACCAGGCACTGGGCTCAACTTGGCTGTCCCTGGAAGCAAGCATGTATCTTTCTAGCCCCTGTTTTTGGTCCCTTTGCTGTTTCCCAGCCCCACCTTCATACTTCCTTTAGGGCAGGGTGGACTCTACAGCCACCCTACCCCGCTGCCTCTCCCAACCTCAGCCCGGCCCTCCCTTGAGCTGGGACTCTCACTCCAGCACCCGCCCTGGATCTGGGGAACCTGTACTACTGGCATGTTTTTCAGGAAGGAAAGGGTTAGCAATAGTCTGGGGCAATAATATGAGGAACTACCATTTATTGAGCATTTACTATATACCAGCCACTACCTCATTCATACCATAACAATCCCCAAAAGTCATCTTTTATTTTGAGGGGCAGTGTAACATGGTCAGGAGCCAGACTGGGTTCAGATCTCAGCCCTGCCACTTACAAGTATTGCGGGTTGGTCAGCCGGGTGCGGTGGCTTACGCCTGTAATCCTAGCACTTTGGGAGGCTGAGGCGGCAGGATCACTTAAGGTCGGGAGTTCCAGACCAGCCTGGCCAACATGGGGAAACCCTGTCTCTACTAAAAATTTAAAAATTATCTGAGTGTGGTGGCACGTGCCCATAATCCCAGCTACTCGGGAGGCTGAGACAGGAGAATTGCTTGAACCCAGGAGGCGGAGGTTGCGGTGAGCCGAGATTGTGCCACTGCACTGCAGCCTGGGCAACAGAGCAAGACTCTATGTCTTTAAAAAAAAAAATAAGTATTGAGGGTTGGGGTCCCTAGAAGCAGACGCTGAGAAGTTGGGGTGCTCAATGTTTGTTTGTTTGTTTTTTGAGACGTAGTCTCGCTCTGTTGCCCAGGCTGGAGTGCAGTGGAGTGATCTCTGCTCACTGCAACCTCCACCTCCCTGCAACCTTCGCTTCTTGGGTTCAAGGGATTCTCCTGCCTCAGCCTCCTGAGTAGCTAGGACTACAAGTGTGCACCACCACGCCCAGCTAATTTTTGTATTTTTAGTAGAGATGGGGTTTCATCATGTTGGCCAGGATGGTCTCAATCTCTTGACCTTGTGATCCGCCCTCCTAGGCCTCCCAAAGTGCTGGGATTACAGGCATGAGCCACCGCGCCCAGCTCAATATTTTTTTATGAATCAGCACCTGTGAAAGGAAGGGAGAGGAAACATAATTGGGCAGAGGGAGAAGTTAAACAGCAACACAGGCTCGACAAAACCTGGGTCAAGGGCAGGGAGCTCTGTGATTGCCTCACCTTGCTTGAGCACTGGGTGTAGGCTGCCCAGAAAAGGCATGACTTCCAGTGAGGCCGCTGTCTGCACCAGAGGCAGATGCTGAAGGAGCTGACAGCTGGAGCCTGTCTGCAGCCTGCACTCCCTGCAGCTTGGGGGCAAGTCCTTCCTTGAAGGCTAATCTGGCCAGCACATCTCTGTGTTTACAACAGGAGCCCTGTTATCTTGGGCAAGTCATTTCACCTCCAAAGCGCCTTGTCTGTAAAAACAGGGAAAATAGTAATGGGATTCATGGCATTGTTATGAGGATTAAATGAGGTAATATGTGTAAAGCTTTTAAGGACACTGCCTGGCACATAGTAAGCATTCAGTACACTGTAAACATGAACCATTAGTATCTCCACTTTACAACTGAGGCTTAGAGGCAAAGTAGTTTACAAAAGGCCACAAAGTCTGACTTCAATGCCCTTGCCCTAAGCACCTTTGGGGTATGAAGCTAGGGCTGAGAGCCCACCCACTGAGAGGGATGGGATGGGAATGTGCCCAGTAGGGAAGAGGCAGGAACACACACATACATACACACACACACACACATCCTCTTACCGACACATATCCAATATTACTTCCAGCTTTTCCATACTGTCCTACACAAATAAGGAATGTTTAGATATACATTTTTTTATTTTTATTTTTTGAGACACAATTTCACTGTCACCCAGGCTGGAGTGCAGTGATGCCATCACAGCTCATTGTAGCCACAACCTACAGGGCTCAAACAATCCTTCCACCTCAGCCTCTTGAGTAGCTGGGACTACATGCACTTGCCACCGCACTTGGCTAATTTTTTTTTTCTGTCTTTCTTTCTTTTTTTGAGTCAGGGTTTCACTCTGTCACCCAGGCTGGAGTGCAGTGGCACAAACTTGGCTCACTGCAACCTCCACCCCCCGGGCTCAAGCAATCCTCCCACCTCAGCCTCACAAGTAGCTGAGACTACAGGCACATGCCACCATGCCTGGCTAATTTTTGTATTTTTTGTAGAGATGGGGTTTCACCATGTTACCCAGGCTGGTCTCAAACTCGTGGGCTCAAGAGATCCTCCTGCCTTGGCCTCCCAAAGTGCTGAGATTACAGGTGTGAACCTCCACACCCAGCCAAGAAACTTTTAAAGTTGGAGGAGGCCTTTATAGGTTATATAAGCAAGGAAACTGAGACTGAGAAAAGGTGAGTCACTTGTTCAAGTTCACACAGTTAGTTAGAAGCTGAGCAGGGACCAGAGCCCACAGTATGTGGCTCCCAGTCCTTGGGTGCCAGCCTGCCTTTCCAGAACCACTCTGGGTGGCCTCCTCTAATTCTGTGTGCTCAGCTCAGTGCCAGTGCAATTTGTGGGCTATACTTACATCAGCCCCCTACACTCTACCCCAGCCCCCAGCTCATCCACAGTGGGTAAGACTGGGCCCTGGATGCTGCCCACCAGGCTAAAGGGTCTTCATGGCCCCTCCGGTGAATCCTTTGTCTCTGAAAACCCAAAGGCAAAAACTCTGGCCTGCTAAGAACAATTGTACCAGTCATGATTTTTACACTTACTATATCCTGGGCAACATCTCACTTACTTCCTACAACAACCCTTAAGGTAGATACTAATGTCTTCCCCATTTTTCACATGAAAAGGACAGCTCAGAGAGGTTAAATAACTTGCTGAAGGACACATAGCTGGTCTAACACCCAGTCCCATGCTCTTAACCATGCGGGACTGCCCCTCCTTAGGGACAACTGGAACCTAACTTCTTACACACACATGAGCACACATGCCTTCCTTTCACCCACAGATGTGTCAACTGCCAAACTTTCTCCTTACCCACACTTCGATTCACACCTCTGTTCATTATGCAAACACACACACCAAACCTCCCACTTGTCCTCCCGGCTCATACATATAGAGACAAGCACAATGTTCTCATACTCCTAGTCCTAGTCCAGAACTGTGCACCCCCCGACCTCCAACCATCCCTGTCCATATTCACACACAACAGTAATGTCTCCGCATGACACTCATAAACAGCCCACAGATGTCACTCCCTCACTAGAGATGCAGGCTGACTCTGCAACCATATCTCAACAGACCAGGCTATAACCCGTCAAGCCCCTTTGTTTTAAACTCTTGGCTTTTCTGCCCACCGGGACAGATGCACTATGCTGAGTTGCAGACTCCAGTCTCACAGGAGACTCCATTCCCTAATCTTTTTTCTGAGCTCAGTTCCCTTTTTCTGCTGGGCAGACCCTGCAAGCTCAGGTGGGCTTGGAGCTGCTCTACCCCATGCTCAGCCCTTATCTCTCCACTCCTTCAGTGGTGCTGATCGGCGAATCAGGTGTGGGGAAGACCAATCTACTCTCCCGATTCACGCGCAATGAGTTCAGCCACGACAGCCGCACCACCATCGGGGTTGAGTTCTCCACCCGCACTGTGATGTTGGGCACCGCTGCTGTCAAGGCTCAGATCTGGGACACAGCTGGCCTGGAGCGGTACCGAGCCATCACCTCGGCGTGAGCCCGGGCCTGGGGGGCTGCTGGGTAGTGGGAGTTCTGGGGAAGTCAAGGAACACTTCTGGAGGAGAAGTTGGGGTGGAGGAGGCAAGGGGGCTCAGCAGTGGGCTCTGGGTGGTGGGGGTGGAGATCACAGAAGATAAAAGGTACTGTAAACAGAACCAGCACAAGCCAGGATATAGTAACACTGACTAGTACTACTAAAAGCAGGAATCATTGCCACTTACTAAGCCTTTGCTATGTGCCCAGGAAGGGACAAGGCACTTTACATTTGGCATTTTATGTAACCCTTAAAGTACCACAAGAGTAAAGTGCTATAATTAATTAATTTCTGTATAAATACAAGCAAGGTGAAATCAGGGTGGAACTGGGATGGGGGCAAGCTGCACGGATCGAGAGCGCCCCCTCACTTCCGCACAATGCTCTGCACTTGGCAACTTTCATCTAACCACAGATGGCCAAAAGCTGAACCTGCCATCTGCATTTTATGAAGACTCAGAGGACACATAGGAGGTTAGGCCTCCTGACACCACATCCAAAGTGACTCTTAGGCCGGGTGTGTTGGCTCACACCTGTAATCCCAGCACTTTGGGAGGCCAAGGTGGGTGGATTGCTTGAGCTCATGAATTCGAGACCAGCCTGGGCAACATGGCGAAATCCTGTCTCTAGCAAAAATATAAAAAATTAGCTGGGCTTGGTGGTGCGTACCCGTAGTCCCAGATACTCGGGAAGCTAAGGCGGGAGGATGGCTTGAACCTGGGAGGCGGAAGTTGCAGTGAGCCGAAATTGCCCCACTGCACTCCACCCTGGGTGACAAAGCGATACTGTGTCTCAAGAAAAAAGTGTCAGCTGAGCACGGCAGCTCACACCTGTAATTCCAGCACTTTGGGAGGCTGAGGCGGGCAGATCACAAGGTTAGGAGTTCGAGACCAGCCTGGCCAACATAGTGAAACCCCCATCTCTACTAAAAATACAAAAATTAGTCAGGTGTGGTGGTAGGTGACTGTAATCCCAACCACTCGGGAGGCTGAGACAGGAGAATCACTCAAACCTGGGAGGTGGAGGTTGCAGTGAGCCGAGATTGTGCCATTACATTCCAGTCTGGCGACAAAAGTGAGACTCGGTCTCAAAAAAAAAAAAAAAAGTGTCTTTCAGTCAGTGTGAGGCCTAAGCATGTGAAATGGGGTCTGTTTGCCAGGGGGCAGGAAGCAAGAGTCAGGGGCTTTGGTTACACACGCTTCTCGTTACCTGATCTCTCATGAGCCTCAGTGGACTCATCAATAAATTGGGAGTTAGACATCACTAGTCTGAAGACATCCCATCCAACTCCAAGAGGGAGACTGGATGCTTGCAGTGATGCCTTGAATGGTCTGGCCAGGGACTGCTGCAAGAGGTAGGCATTCAGCTAATCCTAGAAAGATGGCCACAGGAGAGAAGAGGCCACTGTTGAGGAGCCATGTGAGGAAGATCTTGAAGATGGCAGAGTTGGCAAAAGCCCAGATGTGCATTGGTGAAGAGTAGGGGCTAAAATCAGGAGGAGGACCTGAGAAAGTAGAGGGGCTGGCTATGAGGGAGCCAATGGAGATTTTAGAGCAGGGAGGTGAAACTTTTTTATGTAGTCAGTCAGTTGAGACAAATTTTCACTCTTGTTGCTCAGGCTAGAGTGCAATGGAGAGATCTCAGCTCACTGCAACCTCCGCCTCCTGGATTCAAGCAATTCTCCTGCCTCAGCCTCCCGAGTAGCTGGGATTACAAGCGTGCACCACCATGCCCGGCTAATTTTTGTATTTTTAGTAGAGATGGGGTTTCTCCATGTTGGTTAGGCTAGTCATCCCAGTTCCGCCCGCGCTGTGGCTCCGCCTGTAATCCCAGCACTTTGGGAGGCTGAGGCGGGTGGATCACCGAGGTCAGGGAGATTGAGACCATGCCTGGCTAACACGTGAAAACCCCTGTCTCTACACAAAAAAACCAAAAATTAGCTGGGCGTCGGTGGCGGGTGCCTGTAGTCCCAGCTACTCAGGAGGCTGAGGCAGGGAATGGCCGTGAACCCAGGAGGCGGAGCTTGCAGTGAGCCCAGATCGCACCACTGCACTCCAGCCTGGGTGCACAGAGCGAGACTCCGTCTCAAAAAAAAGAAAAGCAAAACTTGAATCATGAAACACGAACAGAAACGCATCAGGAACCTTCTCCATGTTCCCCAATTTAGTAACTGGCGAAGCGAGCCGCTGGCGAGGCTGGGCCTGGGCACTCAGAACACCGTTAACCACATATTGGTGCTGCTCATAACCCAGTCGACTCTGGGACAAGCTGTATCCTCCTCCGATAAGTACTTGTGAGCATTGCAGGGTAGCGGCTGCCTTTGACAATTCAACTATGGGCGGCCCAGTCGGCTCCCCACACTGTAATGCCCAGAACTTTGGTACAGGCAAGGCAGGTGGGATCCCTGAGGTCCGGAGCTCTCCCGAGATCAGCCTGGCCCACTGGTGACACCCCTCTCTATTAACAATATACAAAATTAGCCAGGCTGTCGGTCTGGCAACCTGCCCTGTAGTCTCAGCTACTCAGCGAGCGACGGCTGGAGAATGCCCCTGAACCAAGAGGCGCGGTTGCAGTGACGCTGAGGATCCCACACTGCACTCCTAGCCTGGGCCCGATGGAGACCCGGGTCCTCAAAAAACAAAAAATCAAAAAGCACAATCTCGGGCAAGTGGTGGGACTCATCGGGAGCCACAGGGTCCCAAGGGGAAGTGCCTGGGAAATGCTGCAGGAAAGAGTGGGGACTGAGGTAAGCAGGACTGTATGGAGGAACGGCCGGCTTGGGGCTCTATGGTGGGGGCCAGGGCCTGGGAGGCTGCAAGGGCGAAGGCGCGTGGGGCGTAAGCCCTCGGAGAAGTCCGCCTGCGGTAGTGGCGGCTCTCACCCAGCCGATCCTTCGGCTCCTCAGTCGGGCCACTCCGGCGCCGGCCGAGGTCATACCTCTTGTTACCACCGCGCGCATGACGACGATCGTGGCCTTCAGCATGGTCACGTAGAGCCCTCCTTCGCCATCGCTCACACCACAACCGCACATAGGTCTGGTGCGCTTGGTTAGG